ACAATTCACAGCCTCCCTGCCCTTGCCCTTTAGCCAAGGAAACTTTGCAGTCTGAGTTTGTCTTTGTTGCAAAATCACCTGTTAAGATACAACCAACTCTTGTGTTGGAAACAGGACTTTCACTAACTTTCGACGAAGCTCAGACGAAAATGTGGATCACAGCTCAGTAGAAGAGACCCCCTGAACTTCCCAGCAACGGCTTTCAGCTCCTGTTGCTCCCATGCCCTTTGGGGGTGGCAGAAACCTGTTGATAGCCTGTGGGTTCCCAGAGCCCATGGCTCTGAACAGGGTTAATTCTCCAAATCCAGAGCTAGTAAGCTATTAGGTTGGGTTGGGATTTCTTTTGGTTTTCTTTTTTTTTAAGATAAAATTTTTGACCTCTGCTTTTTTTGGTTGATTAGTTTGAGTCATTGATGATGGCTCATTAAATGGTATGGAGAAAGCATGAGCAGCAAAAGAAAAATTGTTATGCTCATATTTCTTTTGTGAGGAATGAATACACCCTGCTTTGGTCCAGTACTTGCACAAGTTCTGCATATTGGAGTTATTACTGTCCTTTAATTTCTCTTCGGTATAAAAACAATGGCAGTTTGGGGCTGTGCTTCTCTTCCAGGATGGCAGATTACACCAGTCTGTCAGGGCTGGTTCACAGTTAAACTTGGGGCACAGGCTGCCTGTGGCCCCCTGCGACTTCTTCAATCTCAGTGGTCATCATTACCCTGCAATGCTGCTGCTCCTTCCCGAGGAAGCAGCAACCCTGCAGGGGCAGCCAGGAGGAGGTGGGTTTCTTTGCTTAGGCTGGGTCAAGCAGAGCATCCGTGCTGGCTTCTACCCCCTCTTCTCAGGCAGTGGGAAGACAAGGAAGGGTTTTTTCAGCAGGCACATTTTTTGGTAATAAATCTGGTTGCTGCTGGATTTTTCAGATATTGTAAATAGAAATTATTTCAAGAAAGGACAAGATAAATTCAGGGAGGTCTGAGGATGAGTCTTCACTGCAACAGTGGATGGAGGCAGTGTCCAGCTCAGGAAGCCACGAACACAGAGGTTGGAAGGATGAGCTGGGGCAGAGATTGCTCCATTGCTTCCTAGGCTTACACCCTCTGACTGTCATTACTGGCTGTTCTTTATGCTTTAATTGCCTCTTTTAATGAGAACAAGTGAGGTTGTTACAGGAGCTTGTAAATATTGAATTGTTTCTCTTTTTTCTTTTTTTTTTTTCCCCCATTCTGATCCCAAGGTTGTCTGTGGTGTTGTGCCTTCCCATAGTCACAAAAAAAATATATGCCTTGTTAAAAAGAGGTGGAAAAGCTCTGCCACTAGTTTGAAATGTGAAAAGCGATTTGGCGTTGCATGGAGCATGAACCAGAGAAGAAACATTAGGGACAACTACGGGGTTTTCTTTGCAAACCTCTGGTTTATCTTGAAGTACTAGGTGGCTCTTTTGTTACTAAAACACAGCACTTGCTTCCCAGAAAATGCTGAGACTGTATATTGGAGGTGTACGAAGAATAGAAAGGAAAGGAAGAAATGTAGGCTAAATTGATTAAATCTAGCAGCTATTTTCTTCCTATCTTGTCCTGCAGAGCTGATGGTCCAGGGGAGGGTCTGCAGGGAGCACCTTGCTGCTTGATGTCCACAGGTTACACATGGGTGAGCGAGGAAAACCGCCAGTGATGAGCAACCTTACAAGGTGCTGCCTAGAAAGACTTTCCAGAACCAATTCTCTTCTTCCAGCAACTGATGTGGGGAAATTGAGGATCAGGTCAATATTATTTTTAAGCACTTGCTGTTTATGCAAAATACGTCTTAGTTTTTCTTACAGGAGTAATCTTTATGTGTGCCACTTGTACCGCGCGTATCCTAGAGGCTTCCTGCAGGAAGAGTGAGCGGTGTTTGCTTGAGTAAAGGTTGAATAACAGACAGATAACTAACACAGGGCAGTTGTTAGAAGTTTGAGTAACTTCTTTTCATTTATGTTCCTTGGGCGTATCTATTTAATTTCACTCAGGCTGGCTGGTGCATGGTTATTTTGGCAAGTATCTCACAATGTTGGGTATTTTTCTTACATCCCTGAATCCTACAATTTGAGGCGGAGAAACATTTTGTGTTTTTCACGTAAATTTCTAGAGCTTCTGGATGCAGACAAAAGATGGAAATGTGACTGCCACAAACATGGTGTCTTAAAAAAGGTAAAAATAAAGGCACCAGAAAGCAAACAAAAATGGAAAATGTACCATTAGTAATAGAGAAAAAAGAGCCATGTGAATCTGGAGGAGAGCTGATTCAGTTTTCAGGTTCTGGCCATGCTGCTCTCTTTTTGATGTGCAAAACTGGACTTTTATTTGTTTGTGAATTTCACTTTTTTTTTGATCATAATCAGTTTTGCTTCCTGGTTCTCATGGTCTCATAATTTGCTGATGGTATTTTTGTTTTCAATCCATCGGCACAAAGCTTCCAACTTTTTAATTTGAAAAAGATCTTGCTGTAAGTTTTTACTTCTCTCCCCCCCCCCAATGTAATGAAAACATTTCCATGAAAATTAGATTTTGAAATATCTCATAAAACTTAAATGCTTGGTCTAAACTGCTAGAACACTTCTAATGAACATCAGCTTTCTGTCATCTGCACTGAGTTTCCACTACCAGCCAGTCTATTTTCCATCTTTTTGATGATGTATAAAGCAGTGATCGCATGGGAAAATATTATCTCGGGGTTAATTTGTGCAGTCCTTACTCACAGGAGTCATTGCATGTGATTCAATGGGCTGCTTATATGTATGCTAATAGATGAGTGTTAGCCTTTAACGACTTGACCAGCAGCCTTGAGTCATGAAAAAAACTTCTTTTTCCTGGCTGGTGGAATATTTCTGCGAAGGCATGAAACAGTTTTGCTGTCTGCATTCAGGGCCACGACCCTTTTGCCTTTCAGCAAAGGTGCAACTCACATCAGTGTGTGTGATGTTAGAAAGCCTGCAAAGAAAGAGCAAGAGCATGGACAGAGTACAAGCAGGAGGGGGCTGGGAGAATTGAGTGTTTGACAGTGCAGACACAGAATTCCAGAACCATGGTTCCTTCAAGGATATATTCTTTTCTTTTTTTTCCCCTGGTAACTGAGCTTGGTCCCATGGTTTTGGACATCGCCAGAATGGCTTGATGAGATTATAGGTGTTTATTCCTGGTTGCAAGTTGTTTATGATATATTTAATTGTTTTTGAAACCCATATTAAATAGCCCTGAGGGAGCTGTGTTCCTGCTGAGTCTCCATTGCATAATGAAGTACATCACGAATATTTACCGAGTGTCACAATATTCCAGACTTGGGCCTCTGTTTCTGGGGAGAATGAATCACTGCATTTCTGGTTCCCCACCCTGCTCGCTTTTCCTAAAGGAGGCTTGGATTTCGGGGCAGATTATGGAGATGTGAAGTGAGAATCATCACAGCCTAGCTGGAGGAACAGTTGACCAAGGCTGTGATTGAATCTTCTGCTTGAACTGTCCTTGTGGCATTAAGCACAGAGCACAGAAAGGTTTAAACTTGTGCTCGGTGGTGGAGCACAGAACACAGGTTTTTAGCTGATTCCTCCAAGCAAAACCTGTTGTATGGTCACATGGGAAATATCTTCTGAACCTACTGGCTGCTCTGGTGGGAGAACAGACATCTCAAAGGGGTGGCAAAATCCTAGCAGGTCTTATGTCAGTCTAATGGGGTGTGGAGAAGGATGCCAGCAGTGCCTCCTCCTGAGGGGGAGATGCAGCACACGTTCAACCTCTTACTAGCCACTGTGTTGTAGACTGTTAGTGGAAGCTCATGTGTGCATAGAAGCAAGTTGCCACCAGCCCAACAGCACAGGTCTGTAGTAACTTGTCTTTTGTCACCCTGTGCTGTGACTACAGCACTCTTACAGCCAGTGGTCCAAGGGTCCTCCAGGACAGTCCTGCAGTTCTTACTCCCAAATTTGCTGGCTCTGCTCACATTTATTATTCCTGCATTGATGTGTAAACATGTGGTATGTACCTAACCTGCTATTTCCTTTCCTGCATGCTTTCTGCTGGACCCAGCTAGTCTGCTGTGTAGCTGTGGAAGATGCTGTGAAGTGGGGATGGGAGCTCAGCAGAAGTGCACTGTGTGTCTGCTGGGACTACGGTAGTGTAATTTGGGAGAAGTTTCTTTCAAACAAGAACATCTGGAGGATGGTGGCTGGGAAGGGAAGGTAGCAGTGCTGCCGAAGCTGAGGACTGAGGGCCACCTCCTACAATGGAAAGCCTGGCATCTGCAAGATGGAGTCTGCAGCGGCCAAAGCTAAGAGGAGAGGCCTGATGAGCAAGCCAGTGAGCGTCTATTTCAGCTTACACAGCTTTCTGGGCTCCTCTCTCACCTCCAGACGCCGAGAAAAGGTTATGCCAGTGTTTAAAGCAGCTTCCCAGACAGTCTGGATTTATCATGCCCATATGGAGTGAACATTTACCTTGAGGTGGCAACCCAGGACATCTTGGTGCCTTGTATTCCTGGAAGGGAAGGTTAGAAAAGAGGTGAGGGGAGCCAGCTATGCTGTTAACAAGTCACTACATCCTATTGCAGCATCCAGTTCATATTTCACCTAATTTTTCCCCCATTTCTGGCTAGAGAAATTTTCCTACAGGAGAAACTCCAGCCAGTCAGCGGGACTGCTGGGCAGGGCAAAAGTCCAAAGAGCCGCTCAGTGTCTGGCTAGGACCCTCTCCACATCTTGATGAGCTGCTCAGGCAGCAAAACTGCTTTTGCACCAAGAGCTAGAATTCATCAGGAGCCTGGGGACATTGCTTCCTGCTCTGAGCCCACCAGTGGATGAACTTCTCCTATGGCCTCCTTGACCAAAGTAAACCAAAGTTATCCACGGCCCTGCGCATGTGGGGTAAGACAAAATTGCCAACTGCAGCTGCTGAGCAGGCAGGCTTGGGGAAGGAAAATTGCATCAATTTTCCAGCAGTCCCAGGGGCACTTGGAACAAAGTGGGATGCTGGAGGTGATGGAGCAGGTTAGATGACTGCAGAAGGCAGCATCCATGTAGCTTCCAGTCATCTCTTGTAGTCAGTGTAAGTGCTGGACCAGTCAAGTTTTGAACCCATGAGGGCCTTTAGTAGTCTGCTGTTCGATCTCAGTTTTGTTGTGTTTGTGGCTGCTGAATGAGTGGAGGGCTAAGCTGCAGCCGGTGTGCCGGCAAAGCTGCTCAGTGCTTCTGGAAACCACCCTCTTTTTTGGAATCATCACTAATACAACACATATTTGGAGAGAAGAGAAAAAAAAAAAAAGAGAAGAAAAAATCCTGCTTACAGCTTCCAAAGAGCCATCATTTCTGTGTGTCAGTTCAGCAGAGCTGGGGCTTTGCAGGGATAGATTGGGCTTTAATAGGGAAAAGTGCCTGAGCCCTAACAGTGAAAACGGAGTGTTAATGCTCTGGGCCTGGTGCTGCAGAAAAGGCTGCCCTAGCCAGTGGCTCTGCAGGCAGCTCCTGTCCCCATGAAGTCTGGGCTGGTTTCCTGTAAAGCTTTGCAAGTGCTCTTCCCCAGCCTGTGGCTTGAAATGCCAGTAGCACTTGATACCTGTTATCCTTCTGCGTCCTGCACAGCATTGTATTCTCCCCCACAGGAAAGGTACAGAGCAGAGGTTTGTGAGACCAGCACTGATTTGCTGCTTGGGATGGATGACTCCCATGCTGACAGTGCTGGAGAAAGCTGGTGACAAGTCTCCGTCTTTTCTGAGCATGTTTGCTTCCATTTGGCACTGGGAAACCTGTCCTAGACCTGAGCCAGTAGGGTAGCCTGTCCAGTCTTGAGTGCTTGAGGTTGTCAGATCAAATGTATTGGTGACTTTGCACTGACAGAGAGAAGAGCTTTCAAGACCAGCCCAGAGCTGAGCTTTGCATCCCAATGCCTTCACTCTGAATGCTAGTGGCAGTCTGTACTTCTCTGTGAATAGGGGACGGAGAGCTAAGGTGGTAATGGAAACACAGGTCTGCATTTTATGCACACACAAGGCAGCCTGGTGGGGAGGGTGTTTGTGTGCTCCATGTGTTCCCCAGGCAGTATAGGATCACTCAGCTTGGGGGTACAGCAGGGCAGGGTTTGTAGGGTATAGTGTTTGCTGGAGCCTACCCAGAAAAGGCTTGCACACAAGTCTATATTGAAACAGTAGAGTTTGGGATTTTTTCCCCTTCCAAACATCAGCTGATATGGACCAGCAGGATAAACCCAGACTGTCTTTCATTGCTTCAAAATACCTTTGTGCCTTGGCCACAGGGTCCTGAGGTCTTTTTTTTCTGTGTATTTGCTGCCATAACTTGATCAACTTCATCTTGGTGTACCTCAGTTTTACTACCCATATAACTGGGTACAGTCTTGGCCCCCTAAGTAAGGGCTCTGAAATCAGCTGGATGTGTTATATAAGAGGTTGGCTTCAACAGAGATTTGTGAAGGTTCTTCTCCCTCTGATTTGCCCTCAGCAAACTGCAATTTCATCTGCATTCTCTGGAATTGACCACCTTCTGTGTTAATTAACTGATTGCCATTGAGGAGACCCACTTCCGTGAACTGGAGCAACTTCTAGCAAGTTTGTTCCTGCAGGGAACCCACCTTCTGCTCAGGTACACCTGAGTGCACCCCATGCCCTTGGGGCAAGTTGTGTTTGTTGCATGAACCCATCCATGGGGTGAAACATCTTTCGTGGCAGATTTTTGCATGTGGACTCGGATCTCCTGAACATCTTGTGGTGCTTGGGCTCTCCACAAACCCAAAGAACTCAAAGAGCTGCATGTGCTGGTCAGCTGTAAGGTCCCTGGAGCGTTTGGTGGCAGGTAGTGAAATTCCCAGTGCCTGGTTGGGATGGTCATGCTCTTTTTCTCTGCTGGCCTGGTCTTGAAAGTTGGCCAGAAAGATCTTTACTTGCAGTTTGTTTCATTTGGACAGCTGCTGATCCATCTCATGCAAACTAGGGGAACAGCTCAGGAATAAGTGCTTGTGACCACTGCTTGTTTGGGATTTGGTTTTCATTGTTTCTCCTAAAAACAAAATAAATAAATAAAAAAATCAGCTAATCAGTGAAAAGAAACAATCACCTGTGATTTAGGAGGGATCACTAAATTAGTGTCAGGAGACCAGGCAGACAGAATGGTTGATGAATATCCTGCAGGCTGAAAGTTGTTTATCAAGCCTGTTTGAAGACTTATGACTAACAAGCTCATTTACAGAGTTTGGAGTCTGTTCATGAACTGTTCTCCAGCTGGGAGGATGTGGGAATCATCAGAAAATGTATTCACAAGTTACCCGATCGTTTAAAAAAAACGATCAAACAAACAAAGACTGGTCTTTGGAAGAGAACTGCAAGTTCTGAGGCATTCCTGTTAGGAAAATGGGGGGCCCAGAGAAGAATAGAGAACTCCACATTGCTCGCTAATGACCTATTTTGGTGCTAACCCTTTTTCTGAATGCCCCACCCCCAGCCAAGCCCTCCAGCTGCAGGAGAGCTCATCCCCTATGCCATGTGCTCTGCGAGGTCTGATCACGGGCTCCCCATAGGATGGATCCATCTCTTCTCCACCAGTGATTCCCAGTGGGGAAATTGGGCTTGTTGGGGAGCGTGGCTGGTCTCACTCATCTGATGAGCTTACAGAGCAGATCTCCCCAACATCACAGCCCAGTGTGTTTCTGCATGTTGCCGTGTAAAGGAGGGTGTCGTGATTGTCACTGGCATCAACCTGCTATCTATAAAGTAGAATGAATTCAGCATAGGGAGCCAATGCTGGAGCACTGTGGCACTGTGCCCTTTGCAAATATGCTTACCTTGCCTTGAACCAACTCTCCTGGCTCAGTGTAAAACACTGCATCTTTTTGAAGGGAGGCAGATGTTTTTCACCCCCAGTATCTTCTGTAGTTCTGCCTCATTTGTGGAACATCCTCTTGTGCTCAGCATAGAGGGAGCTCCAGGTGTGCTCTGTTTGGGCAAGCTGCATGTCAAGGAAGTTGCAAACTGGGTAAAAAATATCCAGAGAAGGAAAGTGGTAAGCAGAGTTCCAGCATCCAGTTTAGGAGGAAAGAATTGGTGCTTAAGCTCAAGAAGAGGTGGGTATAAACTGATCACCAAGTCCACCTACTTCTGTTGCAGCAAGGGACATGTAAGTGAGGTAGTAGGCAAATCCTCCCGGGTCTAGTCAGGATAGGGAGACCAGAGAAGAGGCGATGTGAGGATGCTGTCAAGACGATAAGTGCAGATCTTATGGAGACAAAAATGTGAAGGAATAAACAGTGTAGGGCTTATCCTGCCTTGAGACGGGAGTCCTTTTTCCAAGTTTCAGTGGCTGTGTGCTTAACTCTGCATTTTGTCTGTCCTGGCCAGCACAGTGGCGCTGCCTCCCATTTTCTCCTGCTTTCCAAGCAGGTTGCTGTGCTATTTTCAGCTGTGGTGCCTGCATGGCAAGAGGGATGCATCCAGCTGAAGGGAAGTACATGGAATGGACACAGTCACGGGGGATGACCCACTCCTGTGAAATCAGTTAACAGACTTCCTAGTTGTGCCTTTCAGTTTGAGCACTGTGGGCTGGAAGTAGCTGGTGTGATGGAAGACAAACTAGAATGTGATTAGCAAGAAAATCACCCCAGAAAGCTGCCCTTCATCAGTCCGGGCAGGTTCATGTCTACATTTCCAATGCTGTGTGTTTCTGGTTAGAGGTAGTCTGTGTCTGGAGGAGCTTACAGAGAGCAAGTGGAGAGGACACCTTGTTTTCAGAGGGTTGAAGCACTCTGTGCAGAGCTGGGTGCTGAATCCTGATTTTCTCACCAGCAGTGGTGCCAGGCTCCCTGTTCTCCCTGTCTTTCTTGCTACACCCATGGCATTGCTCCCCAGGCATCCTTGGAGAGGCTTTGCTCCCTGCTGTGCTTCCTGGTCTCTGCTCTGAGTGGGAATGCTTTTGCTTGTGTGATGTATCGCTGACCTTCTCTGGCCATGTAGAGCCAAGAGTCATCCCAGATATTTGTGATGATGGATTCAAATCCCTGTTTCCATGACTCTTTAGGAAGGGGTCTTCTTTTTTTTTTTCTCCTCTTTAATCCATCAGAGAAACATGGAACAAGAGCCAGTGGCTGGGAGCAAAAGCCAGACATGCATTCAAAGGGGATAGAAAACACACATTTTTTAACTGTGAGATGCTATGTAATCACTAGAAAGAACTCTGAAGGACACTGTTGGCTCCTCCATCCGTGAATGTCTGGAAGCTCTTTTGGAAGAGCTGCTTTTGTCAGCCATGAGTTATTGGTCTCACTAGCAGGGAAACTGGGTGAAATGCTATGGCTGAGTCTTGCACAGAAACCAGCAAACTAGAGCGCTCAGCTTTGGCTGTGGGATGGATGGATGGGTGCACTGCAACATTCCTGTGCAATTTGATGTCAGGAATATTCCTGCCAGGAAACTGGATCACAGGACCAGATGGAGAATGCAGATCCACTTGATGCGAGTCTGTTTACAGGTCTGAACCAAAACATAGCAAGAAACACAAAAGGAAAGCAATGTCCTCATCTCTGATTATAACTCAGGCCCTTATGTGAACCAGCTGCCACACTCATTTATAGGACAATCCCCTCTTCAAAATCCCACTGCTAGGAATATCAGAGATAGGAAAGCCTCTGCAGAGCTACAAAGGGCGAATGTCAGACATGGAAATAGCCCAACTTGCTCTCGTATTTCAGGACCTCTTCTGGATCTACTGCAGTTCTGAAAATAACAGGCTGTTGCTTGAAATTTCTGGTATTTCTGGCCAGGTTGAGTCTATATGAACATTGTCTCTTGTAATTGCAACCCTGTTGGCACTGGGTAAAATGAGGAAAATGTGGAGAGCTGCAAATTTAATCAGTGGTGGGGAGGGAGATAAATGTGCTTAGCATTCTTACAGGACACAGGGGCACTGAATGGGTAGGGAATGTCAGAGATGGCTTTGCAGGGCTGGCACCAAGGAAAGGGAGCAAAAGGGCCACGAGGATCAGAGAGCCACCCGAGTCTGCACTCCATTTTGTATTCGCTTGTCACTAGCCAGGGAGGAGCCCACTAAACCACAAATGGCCAAAGAGTGTTTCCCCTGGGAGTGTTTGTAGCACTAAACCCTCATGGCTGGTTCTCTGCTGGGACAGGAGCCTTTTCTTGTCCCGCCAGGCTGGGCATTTCCCAGCACCAGCGTTATGTGCTTGCAGTCACATGCTCATGGCTATGCTGTTGGCCAAGAAGGATAGAGCACAGAGGTTTCCAAATGTGCTTTGTTCCTAGAAGGGATATTAAGTAAAAATGTGCCGAGAAATGATTTGGCAAATGGTTTGGTTTGGAGGAATTACACTTTCCTTCGGTATGATTAATAATGGGGATGAGAGGAAAGGTCAAAATAATTAAACTCCTCTTAAAACTTTGCTGGGCTGAGCCATGTTCAAAACTCAGCCCGGGTGTGAAAAGTCGGAAGGTCTCTGAATTTGTCCCAGACTGACTCCAGGCAGGATTCAAGCTTCTGAAAAAATACTGGTGGTTCTGTGAGCATGTTAAACCTCTTCCAGGCAGAGCCATGGCTGCTGCCCTGGGGCATTTGGCATTACTGTGCAGTCCTCAGGTACACCCCATCATACCTCACAGCTGAGCCAGGTGCTGGGAGAGTCTGCAGAGAGCATGTCTGGAGACCACCATCATCTTTGTCCAAGTCCTTCTTCTGAAAACATGGCTATCACTGCTGCCTGTGATCAGGAGGTACCTTAAGGGATGGATGCAAATAGGGTCATCCTAAACTGGCCGTGAGGTGGCTGGATTTTGCTGCAGGTTGTACTCTGGCTGTTGATTCTGCTTTAGGGCAGCCTCTCTGTAAAGAGAAAAATTCCTGCATGCGCAGTGTGCAAGAGAGGCAGGTACCTCCTGGGTAAAATGCTTACTCCGACCCAAGCTGGTCCTATTGCTTGTTTTGAGAGAGTGGAGAGGATGCTCAGCCTGCAGGGGAGAAGTACCAACCTTTCCTTTAACGATGTTGACAGTCACAATAGCCAGAGAATGACACCTTCCTGCCTAAAAATGTGGCCAGACACTTCTTGGGTGATTGTTTTCTACACTGAGAAATGCAGATTCTGGTCAACTGCAATAGGCACGAATTTTCTGTCAGATACAGCTATAGGGGGGAACTTCCTCCAAATTAAAGCAATTATGGAGAAAGCAAATGCTTTGGGTAAATACTTTGATTCTGTTTTTCATTTAAAAGCAGTATCTGTGCTGGAGGGGGAGGGGGGGAATACATTTTTTTAATAAATCTCAAAATGGAAAGAAAGCACTTTGACTTTTTTCTTTTCTGTGTTTTTTGTTTTGTTTTGTTTTGTTTTGTTTTTTTGTTTTGTTTGTTTTTTTTTTCCCTGGATTTGTTTGCTAAAATTTTAAGAAGTCATGTTAGAGGTCAACTCCAAAAAGCTTTTAAAAGTAGAGAGCTGAAAGCCATTGATTGCTCCCAGTGCCCAGCCGTGTGCCGGCGCGAGGCTGCCGGCCGAAAACGGATATTCGGAGGGCAGAGTGGAGGGGCTTTTCTGTTATTCTGGTGCCATCTACTGGTCCGAGCCCACAGAAATGCCTGTGGCAGAAGAAATCAGGAGGAAAACACGGACGGCGTGGTGTGGCCAGGGTCCCGCAGGAGCAGGGACTGCTCACCCTCCCTGCGCAGGGCACAGGAGTGCTCTTGGTGCTGCACTCCCCATCGCCTTGGGCTCAACTTTCTCATGGTTTAATACTTTTAAACTGGCACAGCTGTACCAAAACCCGTGCCTGGTCTGAGCCCTTGGCTCTTCCGGGTCTGGCCTAGCAGAGGAAGGCAGGCGGTGCGATGTGAAGGAGACAGCCATTGGCGATGATGCTTCTGCCGCTGTGCACCTCTGGGTTGGGATGTCTATGGAGTAATCAGCACGGAGGTCTGCTGCGATTTCCCTTCACCTTGTCAGAGCAGTGATTAGGCTGAGAAATGTGACTGGGGCTGTTCAGCCTGGAGAAGAGAAGGCTGCATGGAGACCTTATAGCAGCCTTCCAGTATCTGAAGGGGGGCTATAGGGATGCTGGGGAGGGACTCTTCGCTAGGGACTGTAGTGACAGGACAAGGGGTAACGGGTTAAAACTTAAACAGGAGAAGTTTAGATTGGATATAAGGAGGAAATTCTTTTCTGTTAGGGTGGTGAGGCACTGGAATGGGTTTCCCAGGGAGGCTGTGAATGCTCCATCCCTGGTGGTGTTGAAGGCCAGGTTGGACAGAGCCTTGAGTGGCAAGTTCTAGTGTGAGGTGTCCCTGCCCATGGCAGAGGGGGATGGAACTAGATGATCTTAAGGTCCTTTCCAACCCTAACTATTCTATGATTCTATATGCACTGGTCTTGGTTCTTGCATATCTTGTAAGAGCTTGGACTTGCCCAGCAGCTTGATCTCTTGCTGCCACTATTAATAATTCTTTTTAACTTTCACTGAGCCACCAGTTTTTCAAGAAAATTGTAGGAGTTGAATTATCTTTGTAGTTCCTATTCAAATTGACAAATTGTGGTCGATCTTAGCCAAAAACTCAAAAACTGCCAGGGGGAGCAGATGCAAAGAGCATGTCATGTTGTAAGCAATTTCTCCAGAAAGCCAGTTGAAACCAGTTGGTGAAGCTGGGCTGCCCTTTTGGAAGTCACCTCCAAGGGTTTTGATGCCCCGAGCACCAAATGTGGCCACATTCTCCTTTCCAGGTGCTCAGCTCCTGTGGGAGGCTGGTGTGAGCTCTGCCCCATGGCTTCTCCTCTGTTGCAGCCTCTCTCCTGCCACACATTGCACATTGGCTTTGCTCTCCCAGTGGCTGGGCCAGCCCCATGCCATGCATCCCTGGGGACAAGATATTCTTCTGTTGTGGCTGCTTCAAAGCGCCAGGGCCCTTCTGCAACTTGCTTCGCTCCAACGTGGCAAGCCATACTCTGAGCAAGACACAGCCTGCCTTGAACTCAGCCACCACAGGGAGCAAGGAGAAGGGAAAGCTGGGAGAGGGGAAGAGATCTTCAATCGGGGTTTTCTGTTAACCTTTCACACTTATTTTGTTTTACAGTTTAAAGGCAAGACCCACAGCATGAAATCTAATAGCTCAAGAGCACTATGTCTGCCATGCAAATGTACTGTCTGCTCTAGCAAACACAGGCGGTGTTACCCCTTTAGTTACTGGTGGTGGTAACTTTTTAAAGTGCTTGCGTTTCAAGCCTTGAAATTTC